GTGTGTCTTGGACATTGGAGACTGTCACAAATAAATTGCTAAGATGTTATGGGTTAAATAGTGGGTTTGGGCCTTATTTAGCAGTTAGCATCAAATAGGCCATTTCTTTTCCGGGGGCTCAGCCTACAAGCTTAATTCCAGCCAGATGTCTTACAAGTTGTCAGTGTGTCGCACTGACCATCACTCAGCTTTCGGAAGCGTTTCTCTTTCATGCCGGCGGTAGAAAGCCCACGTCGCGTTTGCTGTTTTAACACTACCATCTGCTTAACTGGGGAAGCGGGGATGGCATCAGGCTTTCAAGAGGGCCACAGGCCGGGGTTCGACTCCCTGATGGCTCACTCCTTTGCTCTGTGACCTTGGAAAAGTTCTTAATTTCTGTAAGATTTCGTTTCCTTACGTGTAAAATAGGGACACTGATAGTGACGGGTCAGGGCGGTGCGGGTCCAGGAGCTGGCACCCTCAGGGCACTTGGGGGAGTGCACGGCACAGCGACGCTCCTCCAGTGTGAGGGTCACGCCTCGGACCTAGCGAGAGGGGGACAGAGGGCGCTGGCCTAGTCGGGTTGTGCATTGAGATGAGACATGGCAAACAAGGCGGCGAAAGGCGGTGGTTTACATGCCGATGGCTCACAGAGCAGAGCGCCGGGAGGGAGGGCTTGCCGGCAGCCCAGGCGTCTGCTCGGCCCTGCCTGCGGTGCCCCCGCCTGCCCTGCCGGAAACGCGGAGCATCCACCTTCCCGACGTCCTCAGGGAGCTGACAGCGTATTTCATTGTGTAACGAGCCAAGTTTAATTTTTCTTTATCCAACTAGAATAAAAGAATTTAAGCATTCTAATTATACAGTTTGGGAAATACCTACGTTTTTCTCTCCTATTTGAACTGGTTCAAATTTTTATGCTTATATTTTATCAATTTCACAGTTAAAATATGTAGATTTATATTCTTAATAAAGATAGGCTCAATTATGGGATAAATAGTGTTGAACGCAGCATTCATCAGGTCGCCTGCTGCTGAAGTAGAAAGCAAGCGGCAGGCCTGGCGTTGATAAAGCGGAATGTTCTTGTGAATTCTCCTTAAAAATACAAAAAAACCCCTAAAGCCAGTATATCCATTCATTCGTTCACTCTAAGTCATTCATTCACCAAGTACCCTTTTACCGATCGTGTGCCGCAGGTGCTTGATACAGTGCATGCTGTCGAGGACACCGTGGTGAACACAGCCAGATGTGGGGGTAATGGGGGTGTTTTGCCTTTGCGCTTAGCACGACGAAGATGGCCAGCTCGAGAGACTTGCGAGGTTTCAGCGACGTTTGCAGGTTTGTTATACTGTCATCAGAACAGCCTGCAGCCAACTGGGGCTTTTTTTGACCTTCACTTTGGTTTTATTTAGTAGTGCTCAACTTTTTTGTCTCCTGTGTGGGTCCTGAGGCTGCGAGCTAAGAGGCTGTCGTTGTCCCTAGAGTCTTGCTGTGTGGTTGGGGAAGAACCCGATCAGGCCAGATTTAACACGCACTCTACTGAGTGTGTTCAACACGCTGCACCACAAGAGTCCTCTGGGCCGAGCCCTGTCCCTCTCGGTCATTGCTGTGTACTCCAGCCCCAGCACAGCGCGTGGCATGTGTCAGTCACTCCCTAAACACCTGTGCCAGGGAAGGAATGCTGTGGGAATGCAGGCGAGCGGCATCTGACCTGTGGGGAGGAGCACAGCTCCCGCCAGTTCGCATCCGGCTTGTCCAGCGGAGGCGGACCCAGGTGCAGGGACCAGCAGATGGCAGAGGTGGGGACCAGCAGATGCAGAGGTGGGGAGAGGGCGCAGGCAGCTCTGTGCACTGAAAGTAGCTTCCTTTTGCTGGAGTTTAGGGTTCACAGGAGACCGTGGTGAGAAGTTGGGCTGGTGAGTCAGACTGGGTTTGCTCAGTAGGGCCTGCCAGGTCAGATTAAGGAGTTCGGTTGTTCTTTTCTTCAAAAGTAAGAATTTTAAAGTACTAGAAGCCAGGTTGCTCAGTGCCCTGGCTGATAAGATACTCTTTTCATACTGTACAGTGCACATAATGTCAAAAAGGCATCTTCAGGTCTTGGGTTCTGTGTCCATTAGTGACAGATGGACTATTAAAATTCTGTAAGCCATTGGTGAAATTTTAATCTTTTGGGGAGAATGAGAATATAGGATAACTATTTGTTTTCTCAAGAGTAAAAAATAGTTGAAACTGTAAGGGCGCGCGAGGTCTGTATGTCTTTGAATTCTGGTTCCCTAGAAGAATGTCAGGTATGTATAGTGGACACTCACTCAGTATGTGAATAAATGCAAAAGGCCTTTGCTTTCGTTCGTGCTGTCGTGGCAGGCATCATGCTGGGTTCAGAAAGTGATGGCTGGCAGAGAAACGGCCCCTCCACAAGGTCCTCCCAGTCGGGTGGGGGAGGAGGAGTCAGTCACCCGTCACGGTACGGTGCGTGGGTCCTGTGCTGGAGGTGTGCACGGGGGAGTCTGATGGATGTCCACCTTTCCGGGCCACTCAGCCCCCCATTTCTTAGTTCTTTTCATACGTACTGCTCGTTTCCCCCATACTTGCCGTTAGCCTCTCAAATTTCCCACGAGGTCGGTCACATCGACTCAGCCGTCCCGTCCCGCACGTTCGTTTCTGGGCGGCAGTTCCCTGGAGATCTCCGCCCTCTTCTTTTCCCGTCTCGTCGCTGCTGTGCTCTTGTCTGTGCTGTCCCGGACCTTCCATTCCTCTCATCCTGTGGTCTTTCTCCGCTTGGGTGTCCCGATTGTGATATCTCTCTCTCTCTCGTCTCTGTCTTTCTTGGCTGATTTCTTCACTTTGGTGCAGGAGTCAGTCATCCAGAGGTTAATCACTTTTAAAAGGCGGTCCAGGGCCTCTGGGCAAGGTGGAGACAGCGTCTACACCCCTTCTCTGGAGCCGCCCGCTCTAGCCGCCCCCGCCCTCTCCCTTCACCACCCTCCCGGAGGGTCCACCGTCCTTACTGCTTTTCCACTGAAGCTCTTGTATCCCACGTCTTCCTCATATTTCGTTAACGCTCACATTTTGGTGGAGGACTTTCTCCAGTGGCTTTCTCAGAGAGGATGCTTTCTCTGAGAGGAGGTAAAGTGCTTGAGATCGTGTATGGTTGAAAACATGACTGACAGTTTGGCTGGGTCTAGAGTTTGATACTGGCATTCGTTTCCTTTCATAAATTCAGAGGTACTGCTCCTCCATCGCCTCGTTTTCACGTTACTGCTATTGAATTCAGAAGCTATTCTAATTGTTCATTCTTTGTATGTAACATTTTTTCTCTCCCACCTTTAGAAGCTTGTCGAAGTTTTAAAATGCAGCCAAGTGTTTTGAACTGTCATGATGGTGTACCATGCTGTGGGTCTGTTTTCATCTATAATTCTGATTATTCAGTAGGTCCCTTCATTCTGCCAACCTGTATTCTTCGGTTCTGGGAAAAAGTTTTTGGAGTTGTTGTGCTCGATATTTTCTGCCTTTTGTTTTCTTATTCTGTCTTTCCGTGAGTCCTGTCGTCTAGGACTTGGCTGTCCCGGACAAGTTCTGTCATTTCCTTATACTTTCACTCCAGTATGCTTTTCTTCTTCCTTCTTTTCTTCGTCCCCCACCCTTTTTTGTTTATTTCAACTTTTAGGAAGATGTCTTCAATTTGACTTAAGCTTCTTTAGTTTTCTATTTCCGTTTTCAGGTTCTTTAATTTCCAAGAGCCCTTTTTTTGTTGTTCTGATTTTTAAAGAATACCCTATTTTTAAAAAATAATTTTAATTTTCAATTATAGTTGGCATACAATATTATATTAGTGTTAGGTGTACAGCATAGTGATTAGATATTTATATAACTTACAAAGCGATCCCCCTGATAAATCCAGTACTCATCTGACACCATACATAGTTATTAGAAAAGAGCATCCTGTTTTTATTGATTGCGGTGTCTTCTCACCTCTAGGTTATTGGTGGTTTGTATAGTTTCTGTTTCTTTCAAATTCCTTCCTCCCTTTTTCCCCCTCCTTTCCCCCTTCCTTCTTTTCCTCCTTTCTATTGTCCTTCCTGCTACTTTCTGACATGGGTGGGGCCTTCTGACCGACATCAGGGTATTCTGGGTGGACCATTTGTTGGGGAATCCCCAGTGTGGGTATCTTTAGGTTTTTCTTCTTGGGCCGGTCAGATTCCCCAAGAATATTCTTCCTGTTTGTTGCCTACAGAATTCCGACTATAGAATTTTGGGAGCTGAATGTGTGGGTGGGAGGAGGGGCTGAGTTGGTGTAGGGGAGCTGGAGAGCTCCACTTTCAGTGTGTGTGCAGTAGTTAAATCCACCTCTGTTTTGTACCGCTGGGCAGGGTGACATCAGTCCGAAGACACTGCTTTGTCCAGGGAGTGACCCTCCAGTCTTCTGTCAGAGTCAGGGAGAGTCGCATGGAGGCATGGCGTTGAATTGTAGCCTCCATCCTCGTTACCCCGAGTTCTGTCTGCGCTGAGGCAGCCAGTGCGCGCCTTCTAGGACACTGCTACGTCACTGGCATGGCTTCTGTTCTTTCCATGCTGGCTTAGGATCCGGCTGTCTTGGGCCTGTACAGCCATTTGCTATGCTTCCAATCTTTTATAGTTTCTATTTCTTGCAAGTTTTTTCTTCTGGTTTTTCCTTATTTGTTTTGGTCTCCATTTTCCATGTTAGAAATAAGCTTTTCTCATAGCTTCTAAATTGTGTTCCTTATATATTCTGTTTGTCATCTTACCCTGAACTTTTAACTAACTTTATGCCATATTAATTTATGATTGTTGATGTGTTTCAGTAGTTTTCAGTTGTTTCAGCTGCATTTCTTAACTGGGATGTAGGTGGAAGACAGGAACTCGATATCGTATTTTTTAATCCCTCGTTCACAAAGACCGCGTGGTGCATGATGAAGCTGACTGTCAGATGGTGACACGGCAGAGCTTTGAAAGGATGGTGCATACAGGTGGTCTCATGTGCGCATAATGTCTTTTCTTGTCAGGTTCTCGCTGACTACTATGGAAGGAGGAAAGAGAAACTAGGAATATTTCTTTTAAATCATCATTCAACTTCTTCACAGAGTTATTGTGGCCTTCTGAACTGTGAGTATAATTCTCTTTCTACAGTTGTGTATTTTCTTTGTTTTGTTTGACTTTTTTTTTTTTTACCTGCCTTGGGGTTACTTTGACATACAGTAGAAACAAACAAAAGGTCATTGATTTTGCACATTAGGTTAGGGAAGAAATATAAGTGTTTTAGTGATTTCTTTGCGTAGACACTTCTATGTCTTTGTTGCGACATAGGCAGTATTATTAACGATGGTTAACAATAATCCTACTAATAAAAACAACAGTGACAACACATGCTTTAGAGTAGTGCCTGGCACACTGTAAACACTCTTAAGTTATAGCTACCAATTGAGACCGCTCAGTAACCCTCTGAATAGGGTTACTCTTCTCCCGTTTCACATGCACGTAACTGAAGTGCAGAGAGGTCAAAGGTTATCACGGTGAATTCAGAGCTGGGATCTAGACTCCATCCGGCTTCAGCGTGTGTGCTCTTATTCCCATGGGCTCTGGAGGCAGGTGTGGCTTCCCGTACTAATTCTTTACCAACCACCTGAACCTGGCTTTCTCCTCTGACAAGGGGCGTTGTTATAGGACCACAGCTCCCCTGGGTGGTGTACCGTGCTCAGCACTCACAGATGTTAGCAGGGATTATTCGGTGGTGTTTTCCCCATTTAATGGGAAGAGAACTGAGCCCCAGAGAGATGGTGTTCTTTGTAATTAGTGAATTTGTACCATTGGAGTCTGTTCCGTGCTGCGCAGCAGGAGAGCTGTATAGAATCGAGGTTCCGTCCCAGTCGTCTGTTTCTGTCCTGCGTATTCGGGTGGGTCAGTGGCACATTGAGGACAGGTAGCCGATAGAAGATTCGTAAATCTCTCTGGGGTATGGGCATTGGTAAGCATTTTGTTTCACCAACATGTTGCTACGGTAGAAGCCTCATGAACTTGAACTTCATGGATTCATAGTTCGTGATAATCTGTAATTGTGTTGAATTTGACTTTGGCCGTGTCTTTGTGTTGCATTTCCAAGGGGCAGGGCCCTGGATTGTTTTTTTCATTTCCTTCTGAGGGTCAGTTCACTTTCCTCCTTTGTTCTCCCCCAAACCCCCTTCTGTGCCTGCAGCGATGAGGGATTAGGGCGAGGGAGTGATGTCATGCGGCTTCGGTTTCCCAGCAAGGCCTGGCGAGTAGCTCCTGCTTTTCCAGTCCCCCCGCTCTGTATTGTCTGCGAGAGGAGCCGGCTCCGTGTGTGCGCTGCGTGCTGGGTGTGTCACGTTGCAGGCATGAGAAGGCCACAGACCGGCCCCCCTTCCTCGACTCGCCCCTCGCAGTCCGCAACATGTGTCTCTCCCCACGACGGCACGTGATGTGCATTCGGGTGCAGGGCTGTTTCTGAGAGTCTTTGGGGGCCAAGGTCTTGTTACTCCATCTCTGCATCTTTTCTGCTTAACCCACAGATAGTTTTCATGAAATATCGAACGCAGGAATGTTTAATACCACACAATAAGTTCTCTTTTCTTAGATCTGAACAAGCGCGAGAACATCAGGTATAACGTAAAAATAATGATAGCAGCTTTAGCCATTAAAAAGAGTCCACCTCGGTAGAGCAGAAGGCAGTTGCGCGGGGAGGTTCCGCAGAAGTTGCCTTCTTAGTGTGATGCGCAGTGGACGAAGGCTGGGCAGGTGACCAGGTGAGCAGCAGCGAGCTGGCCGGTAGGGATCCAAGAAGAATGTCCTGTAGGTAGTTGTTTTTTTTGGTGTGAGCTGGAGGTGGAAATGAAAGCCCAGTGACACCCTGTGACGACTTGAGGCAGTGAGCATGGAGAAGAGAGAGCCCGCGCCTGTGCCTTGGGGCACTCCGCCACGGAGGGGTCACGGCGGAGGAAGCCGGAAGTGGTGGCCTCTGTGGCCAAGGGAAGAGGATGTTTCTGGGGAGGGTGTGATCAGCTCTGCCAGCCGCCGCTGAAAGGTTCAGATGAGGATTGAGGTTTGACCTGTGGCACTCGGAGGGCATTTTGGTGGCGTTCAGAGCAGTTTTGAGAGAGTGGTGAGAATCAAGCCGGATTGAAAGAGGCTTTGAAATAGAGAGAAAACAGTGAAGCAAAGATCGCATCTGGTGCCTTCAGTGTGAGGATGTGATGGTCGTCATCGCCCGTATCCGACTTCGGGGGCTCGGCTGTTCTAAGGTGCCGACCAACCTAACCAGGCACGTCAGGTCCATGGCATTCTTTTAGGGTTTGCCTCCTTTATTAAAGTTCAGATAGTTATGAATTTAGGAGTTTGCTTATCCAGTGTAAAAAATGATTGGCAGCTGTTTCAAGTAAAATCGGTGAAGTTTTGGCAGTTTAATTCTGGTCCTTAAAAAGGAAGCATTAAGTACCTTTATTCTCAAAAGGGAGCTTTTAAAATTGAGCAGCTGTATGTAGCACACCTTGGGCAGAATGTTTGAGTTTTCACAAACGCCCCCGGTGTATGCCTTGGGTGTGGGGAGCCTTGGGGTTGAGGTGGACGGGCCAGTGGGAGAGCGTGGGATGCGGGGCAGGGCCAGGATTCTGGTGAGACGTTCTCACAAGGCTTTTTCCCCTCAGCTCTAAAAATAGACGTAATCATATCGTATTTTCAGGTTTGTTGTAAAATATAAATGAGAGTCACTCATTTAAAGTGGTTTTAACATTTTTAACAGTTTTTATTGTGATAAACAAAAAGTAACAAAATTTACCATCTTAACAACTTTCAGGAGTACAGTTCAGTAGGGTTCAGCGCTTCCACACTGTTGGGAGGCAGCTCTAGAACTTTTTGTTATGCGAGTCTGCACCTCTGTGCCCGTTTCACAAGCCCCCGTCCTCAAAGCCACCGTTCTCCTTTCCGTCTCCATGTAGTTCGCTGCTTTAGACGCCTCGTGCGGCATTTGTCCTACTGCGGCTGGCTTCATTCACTTAACAGAATGTCCTCAAGGTTCATCCATGTTGTAGCCCGTGTCAGAATTTCCTTCCTTTCAGAGGCTGAATAATGTCCCATTGTGTGGATATACAGCGCATTTTATCCATCCATCCATCCATCCATCTACCTACCATCCCTCCCTCCCTCCATCATCTATCCATCTATCCATCCATCCACCCATCCATCATCCTTCCATCCATCTATCCATCCATCCACCCATCCATCATCCTTCCATCCATCTATCCATCCATCCACCCATCCATCATCCTTCCATCCATCTATCCATCCATCCACCCATCCATCATCCTTCCATCCATCTATCCATCCATCCACCCATCCATCATCCTTCCATCCATCTATCCATCCATCCACCCATCCATCATCCTTCCATCCATCTATCCATCCATCCACCCATCCATCATCCTTCCATCCATCTATCCATCCATCCACCCATCCATCATCCTTCCATCCATCTATCCATCCATCCACCCATCCATCATCCTTCCATCCATCTATCCATCCATCCACCCATCCATCATCCTTCCATCCATCCATCCATCCATCCATCCATCCATCCATTTGTAGACACTTGGTTTGCTTTCCCTTCTCGACTATTGTGAATCATGCTGCTCTGAACATGCGTGTGCAAATATCTCTTCAAGGCACTGCTGTCAGTTCTTTCGGAGTTCTACCCAGAAGCGGAGTTGCTGTGTCACGTGGTCATTTTATTTGGATTTTCTGAGGGACCTCCGTACTGGATTTGGAGCCGTTGCACCATTCATGTCCCTGCCAGCGGTGCCCGGGGCTCCGTTTCTCCACGTCCTCGCCGATGCTTATCACCTTCTGTTTTGTTTTTTAAATGGTAATCACGCTAATAGGTGTGAGATTGATTTTAACATTCTTGATGATACGAAGTTTTAGGTAGAATTGGAAAAGTGACTGCATAAATTTCTTGCTGCGCTGGAAGGATATCTGTCAATACCAATGTGACAAAACCACAAGTGTAGGGGAGAGAAATTGACAGAGAAAACCAGCCACCATGTAGCGGTGGTTGAAAAGGGAAGTTCTTCTGTGGTGCTGACTCAGAACACCAGAGCAAGCAGTGGCCCATCCTCGACGCTGCTGCTGTTTCTTGAAAAACAGAGTATAAGGTCAGATTGCAGAAACAGGTTGCTTTCCCAAGCCATACCGAGTGCTAGTTTAAAATGTGGACTTGATTTTCCGCCGGATAACTGAGGAATGTAGGCTGTGGGAGGCACTGACGCTCACCAGCAGGGGGCGCTCGGCAGCCCCCGGCTTTTCTCGGCGCCCGTTGTCTGACGTCTGACGGGAACGGCGGTCAGTCCTTTGAGACTGCTGCGACTTGCTAAATGAGGCGCGCGATCACACCACGGTCAGTTGGACTTACGAGGTAAAGAAAAGTGTAGGGCGATGGAACAAAGTGAGTCGGATGAAATAACGTTTCGAAGTTGATTCGAGCGGCGCCAGCATTACGTGACCACCTGACTTTCTTTGGACGTGTCTGTCATTTCGATCAGTATAAGCTAAAGAACCCTCCGTGTTCTAGCATTTTTATTTAGGTTGAAATTTTTGCTGAGTTTCTTGCCCCATCCTGTGGTGTTGTCTCTACCAATATGTTTGAAAAACTAAAGCGGCATCTTTTTACAGATTCTAGGGAATTTTTTTTATCTTTCAAACTTGATGGCAAGTAACTTCCCAACAGTTTCTAAACCTAGAAGTTAGCTTCGATCTCCTATATGGTAAAACAAATAAGAAGTAGCTGTTAATTAGCATCCGTGAAAATGCTCCAGGTCAGTGTCGCTCAGGATTTCCTGCCCTTTGAGAGCCGCGTTTCCCTTCGATTTTGCACCTCTCAGTGCTGCTTAATTCAGAGGTCGTGCTTGCTTCCCGGTGACTCTGCCGCGTGTCCAGGATGCACTGCGGTGGCTTTTGCGTACATGCGTGCGGGGGCATTGCCGACCCCAGAGGACCGGCCCGTGAGCGCAGGCTTTGGTGACAGGTGTCGCATGGGGAAGAGAGCCGCTCGTCTATTTCACATTCTTTCCGCGCGCACGTTTCTGCTCGTCCTCTGTCCC